TTCGATGAAATTTGACATAAATGCAGAGGATAGTCTGGAAGAACACATAGGCTACTTACTTTTGTTATTTTTAATTCCACGCGGAATGAGTTGCTGGCGAGAGCTAGTTTAAAATATTTCTTTTAATTACTAAGTTATTTCTAATTGTGTTGTAGTATTGATAAGAATTAAATGTTGTATTATTTATTAACTAGCTTTCGCCCGCGAATCCGTCCGCGTGAAATTAAAAAAACAAAAGCGGGTAGCCTATGTGTTCTTCCAGACTATGCTCTACATCTGTACCAAATTTGATCGTAATGCGTTCAGCAGTTTAGGCTACAAACATCCATTCATGAAAACTTTCGCATTTATATTAGTACTAGCTGTTCTCCTAAGATTTCATCAGCATAAAATTATTTTATTGTCTAATGTGTCAAATTGTCAATTGTAAATGTCAAAATACCAATGACCTTACTATGGCAATCTTGCTTCTTGATGTTGGCAGCAACTTATGGTCTTTTACCCACATTAGGGTTTTTATCCAAAATATTTACCCCCTAAGTTTAATAGCGTGAAAATATATAGCCTAAAGCCTGACGTAAGTGTAGGACTTTTTATTAAAATAAGAATTATTCAAAAAATATGGTGTAATTGCTGACATCTTAAGCAACAAAGAAGTGTGTGTTTACGCTTTATTATAATAGTATAGACAGTACAGATGATATTATTTTAATATTACGATAGTATAAATTAGTTACACATCGATTTGTCGTAACAGGATAATGGGAATTTCCTGATTATTCATTTTTAATAGTGAGATGCAATTGCTGGTATTGGAAAACACATATCTTGTATAAGACAGGAAAATAACAGATTTATTTTAAATTTTCAATTGCTGTATTGGAAAACACATATCTTACCTTAAGATAGGAAAATAACAGATTTATTATAAAACTAGCTGTTCCCGTGCGGCGTCATCCGCATAAAATAAAAACTTTATTTTATTGTTTACATTTGTCAAATTCACAATTGCAAATGTCTAAATGACATGACATTACAAACCTTGGCAATCTTGCTTCCTTGATGTTGGCAGCAACTTATGGTCTCTTACCCACATTAGGGTTTTTATCCAATTTATTTACCCCCTAAGTTTAATAGCGTGAAAATATATAGCCTATAGCGTGTTGTAAATGTAGGGCTTTTTATTAAAGGAAGAATTATGGAAGAATATGCTGTAATTGCTGACATCTTAGGCTACAAAGAAGTGTGTGTTTACGCTTTATTATAATAGTATAGATGTATACACTAGCTTTCACCTGCGACTCCGTTCGCGTAGGATTGAAAAAAAAAACTGAGTAGCCTATGTGTTCTTCCAGAACATCCTCTAAATCTATGCCAAATTTCATCGAAAACCATTCAGTCGTTTACGCTACAAACTCTAACAAACATCCATCCATCTAAACTTTCGCATTTATAATATTAGTAACAAGTAAGATTAGTAGTGTGTTTTTATTATATAGTAGAGAAATACCGATAATTTTAGAGTTACCTGCATTTATATTCGGCACGGAGTCGGTGGCTCAGTGGTTTGAACACTTGACATGTAATCTACAGGTCTTGGGTTCGAATCCCGCTGTACCTGTGATTTTCGTTTTTTCGAATTTTCATATGTACATAATTTACCCGACGTTCTTACGGTGAAGGAAAACGTGATGCAGCACATATCGGTAAAGAAATTCAAAGATATGTGTGAAGTCAAGCAGCCCGCAGTGCAGCGTGGTTGACTATGGCCTAGTCACCCTTACTTAGGGTAGGCTCCGAGCCCCTCGGTGGGGACGTATAGTGAGCTGGTGATGATGATGATATTCGGCACGGGTCGCTTATGTCATTGTATTTTTCGTACAAAAGCAACTTGTACCAACTTGTACTTACGCGTAACTTATTTAGAAATCAATCGTCCATTAATATGTGGATATAGTGTTTTTACGCAATCACGCTTTCACGGTTTATATCGGACGTTGCGTACATTCTTAATCAAGATTGTAGTCGCTATTGGGACGTAACGCAAATCTATTTAAACATCCTTCGTTTCAATCCAACGCTAAAATTTAATATCAATCTATACCAATACGACATGTTGCCCGCGACTTCGTCCGCGTGGTATTAGAAAACATACAGACTATATAAATTACAAAAAGCTACGTAAACCCTCGGAAACCGGTCATTTCTCGGGGATGAAGCTTATCCCATGTGTACTCCAGACTTTGTTTTATATCTGTGCCAAATTTCAATAATATATGTTGAACCGTTGCAGAATGATCGAGTAAACATTAAGAAACCAAATTAATGAATCCCACTGGAACCGTAACTATTCCCGGGATAAAAAAGTAGCCTATGTGTTCTTCCAAACTATGCTCTAAACCTATGCCAAATTTCATGGAGATCCGTTCTGCCATTTAGGCTACAAACGCTAACAAACATCTATCCATCCATCCATCTAAATTTTCGCATTTATAATATTAGTAAGAAGTAAGATTATAAAGAGGAAAGATTTGAATTTTTGGATTTTCGTATGTTACAAGAACGTTAGTTATGAGTGTACACCGGTAGAGGTAGACATAGAAAGAGATGTATTGTGTGAAAGGTGACATGATGAAGGGAGTGACTGAGATGACATATGATAGAGTTATGGAGGACAAAACCTTTTGCACCATTACGGGAGTAGGATAAGGAGAGAGATAGAATAGAATAGAAATAATTTATTGAAAACAAAAGAATTACACAATTACAATTACAGTTATACCAACTTAAAACGAATTACAATCTGTATCTAATACGTTTAATCTTGTGATGCCCACACTACGCAATCATCATCATCTGCCTTATCCTACTCCCGTAGGGTCGGCGTGCCGGGTTTTCGTCCTCCAAAGCACTCTATCATCCGTCATCTGTCATCACTCCCTTCTTTATCATGTCACCTTTCACGCAATCCATCCATCTCTAAGTCTACCTCTACCGGTGTACCTCCACATTCATAACTAACGTCCGTCTTGTTACATGCGACTCATCCCTTCTCATAATATGCCCACACCACTCTAACCTGTAGCAATGTATGTATTTGATTCACGTAAAAACTACTGGCCCGATTTTAATAATTCTAACACCATTAAAAAGATAATTTATCTTTGAGTAACATATGTATTGTATTATTTTTTAATTTCACGCGGGCGTTCGCGAATCATGAATATTTATGTGAATTACGAGTACAATCGTAAAACTCGACAAAAGTTACACCGTAAAATCTCACAAATTTTCGTGGTAGGTCTTTAGTGTTTAATTTCAGCGTTGGATTTAAACGAAGGGTATTTCGTTGTTCGTCGAAATCGACATGTATGAGATTTCACATAATAAAAAACATTTAATTGATTACTCTACGGAAACGTCCTCAAGAATATTCGTGATAAACCCTCTGTTTTCATTAAGATAAAATTAAGTTACATTGTAAAAGTCATGTAAAAAAACTATTACTGTCAAAAATTTAAGGGTTTTAGCATCAACATATTGTCTATGGTAAATATCGCATCGTAAAACATATCCGTCGTGAAAAAGATACAAAAAGACTTTTTGTCGAATTCAATAATAGTTGGAAATTGTAAATTATAACAAACCTTTCTAAAATATTACCACGAGCTGTTTCCGTGCGTCGTCATCCGCATGAAATTATGAAAATTTTATTTTATTTTATACATTTGTCAAATTATCAATTGCAAATGTCAAAATGACATAACAAACGTTGACAATGTCGTTTCCTTGATATTGGCAACAACTTATGGTCTCTTTCCTGCATTAGGGTTTTTATCCAAAATATTTACCCCTAAGTTTAATAACGTGAAAATGTATAGCCTAAAGCGTGACGTAAGTGTAGGGCTTTTTATTAAAGAAAGAATTATTCAAAAATATGGTGTAATTGCTGACATGTTAGGCAACAAAGAAGTGTGTGTTTACGCTTTATTATAATAGTATAGATATAGAAGTATAGATTACTATATTCACTGAATTATTTAAAACAGCACGTCTGTTTTATATCACCTATTTAAGTACTAAAACGTTCTGAAATAAACCCATAGATAATAATGCGCGGTACACACTTAGCCAGGACAGTTAGACAGTAGCACAGTCATTATATAGACTGACGCCAGTTAGTGTTCACATTATCCCTCCAATTAATTAATAAAAGTTAATGTCGCTCCAGTATTTAAGTGCTACTGTCCAACTGTTCTGGCCAAGTGTGAACCTAACATTATTTGACGCTTCTATTGAATTCGATTATAAAGGCATTTACTTCAAAGTGTTTTGATTAGTATTGTTTCAAATACAAATTATTATTTTTCTTACGAGATTAAATTAATTTCAATTTATCCTTGGACACGATCATTTTCTATTATAATTGTGATAATAATACTACGAATCATTTTTAACGACAAGAATTTTTATATGCTGTATTTTTACCTTTCGCACGCGACTCCGTCAGCAAGGAATTAAAAAAAAAAACAAAAGCATATGAGTTCTTCCAGACTATCCACTACATCTATGCCAAATTTCGTGCAATCCGTTCAGCAGTTTTCGCTAAACTCTAAAAAACATCCATCTAAACTTTCGCATTTATAATATTAGTTAGATACGTGTATACTATATTAAATTCTTTATTAAAAAAAACAGTAATAAGTAAATGAAGATTTCTCCAAATACATGTCTGTTTACGAGAAAATAAAAATATAATGAAACATTTCTTTTTCTGTAACTAACGTTTTTGAACGTACCTTGCCCACTAAAATTACTAAACAGGTAATTGTTTAGTTTACAACCATAAACAATAGACTGCTCTCATTAATTCGCTTTCATTTATTTAATCTTGAAAGTCATGCATTGCTGTTTAGAAAGCATAAAACAATTTGCTTGCATCGTTACAATTAAATTACATTGAACATAACCTAAAAATATAAATAAATATATCGACTTACTTGATCTTCTTTAGGGTGTTCGTGTGAACAATGTACATGATGGTGTTCACTAAGTAATAATTCATTTACAAATGTATTGCATTCAACTTGATTTAACATAAACACAAACAAACTTAACACACGCACACAATTAGCACTGGTATTCGACATTTTGTCTTTGAACAGAGATGTTTCTCTCATAAACTATAATTATTTGTTTACATTTTAATGTGATGATATACGAACTAACACAAGCGAACATTCGCCATCGCGAGATCTAACTGGTGTTTAGACTTCGAGCGATTACGAAGTTAGCAATAGTGTTGCCGTAAGCGACATCTTAATTTACCATACAGTTTCAAATAATTTCATCCAAAAGCAATATAAATGCTTAACAGTATCGTGTCAAAAGACTACTAATCAGTTTTTCTCAGACTTTTGGAATCTTCTGTAACTTGTTAATAATTCAATCTTATTTCCCGCTTTCGTAAAATCACTGAGGGTGTCAATTGAATGTCAGAAAGTTCACTGTCATTGATCTATTAGTTTTATGAAGCTGGTTGAAATTTTCAACAACTTTTACTAGCGCAACGCTTCACTTAAAAAGAACCTTTTCTTATTTGTTATTTAATTATGTAATAACCGAAAATGCATCTAAGTTAAAAATCTTTTAATGAGGTACATTTTTTTACTTATTTTTTCTGAAATGTCAGGTAATTTTCTTAAATATGGCATCACCGGTTGCGTCAGCTGCGACACCCACGGTCATTTTGTTTCCATTGCAAGTTTTTCTCTTTCTAACTTAGGCAACTTACTATATGTTTCACTGAGATGGAAGATAACATAGAGAGATGACAACGTTAAATATAATGGTGTGAATACATTAGGCAGAAAATTAATTATTTTTGAATACTGAATTGACAAATATTTGATTTGGTTTTTTTTCTAGTTAATTTAAAAGCCTGTTATTTAAATCAAAAATTTTAGTGTCCAAAGAAATTTCGACTAATTTCTATATGCAAAATAGATTACATTCAATTTATCTTACTTCTTAAAGCGTGCGCACACTTTTGACTAAACTATCGCACGATTTTTTCGAAGCCAATTTAATTGCTTAGTTGCACAACAAAAAATATAGTGTGCGCACCTCCATATAAGCTCGTAGGAATCAAAGCGAGACTAAACAGTTGTTCGATAGTTCAGTCAAAGGTTCCGTTGTAGTTGTAAATCATCCTAATATTATAAATGCGAAAGTTTTGATGGATGGATGTTTGAAGTCTAAGCGGCTGAACGGATTTCAATGAAATTTGGTGTAGATGTAGAGGATAGTCTGGAAGAACACATAGACTAATCACTTTTGTTTTACTTAATTCCACGCGTACGGAGTCTTGGGCGAAAGAAAATTTATAATATTTTGTTTTTTTAAGATAATTTCTCAATTGCTATGTTTTTTCACAAAGGGACTGTATATGTTTCGATTACGACAGATTCGTCATAAAACGTCCTTGCAATAATAATGATTAGTTATTTAGAACGCGTCTTTAACGTCCGACTGTGCAGCAATATACGTGACCTGTGAAAGTGATTTCTGTAAAGAAAGTGAAATTATATTTATAACTAGCGGTTGCCAGAAATTTCGTCAGTGTTGAATTAAAAAATGTCCAATACTCTCTTCATCCCTCCGTTAACTCCTGTCAAAATCTGACAGCTGTCAAATCTGACAACTATCGCACAACAATGTGTGCATCGGACATCTGCAATATACACTTTTAGTACCCTTAGTAGGCGTGAGTCGTTACGTCATTTTCGAGAAACGTAACGAAACTAGTGATTTGTTCGGTGTCACATGTTTCAAAACTAGTGATTTTT